TGACTGGTCAGAGTATAACAGTCAGCCAAAACTCGTCTACAGATGAGTAAATACTCTGCATGTTTACAGATAACATTTTTCAAAAGTTGTCCGTTTACATCATTTTATTTCATCATTTTGAATATAAACACTTGGTAAATATATAAATAAACAAATGTTTTTATTACCATTACCACCATATCAACATTTTCCCTGCTCTTACTTGCTCTCCCAGATGCATGTCCAGGCACAATGTGTGTCTCTCATGGTCAAGTCTGGCTGCTCCGCTCCATCTTCAGTTTGATCGTCTGTTACATCAGCACTCGACCACAACTGAAGGCAATTAGAGCCAGTTAAAAGAGAGCTTCCTGGAAAGAAATAAGAAAAACAATACAACTCTTTCAGAATAAAACCACAACTATTGTATGTATTAATATACACATAAGCAGCAAATGCTGGTGAAGTACCTGTGGGGTGCCACGCTAGGTTGCGTACCATTGACTGTAAAACAAACTGTCTGGTCTTTTGCCATTGGCAGTTAAACTTCTGTGGAAGAAATAAAAATAACAACATAACAAGCAGGCTTACACTCAATAAAAAAACAATGTATCATTTTTCTCACTTCCTCCATTATTTACAGCTGCACAACAACAGAGGTTTTCATGTGAGTCACATGGGATCACGCCACATGGTCTATAAGGGTAATAGCAGTCTACCATGAAGCTTCTCAAAAATAAGTTCTTAGATTTTTGTTTCTTATACAAAGTTGTTCAACCATCTGTATCTGTGTTTTTTAACAGTCATCAAAAGTTATTTTTTGTAAGGGAAATTGATGTTAAATTAAAATGCAAACGTGAGAGAGATCATTTGTATATATATTTGGGACAACATTAACAAACATGTTTACAAGGTCATTTTTTTCTAGAATAAACCAAAGTGCATGGATGACTCACTGTCGTTGATGCATCTTTAGGTTCAGGGTGCTGCACAGGCTCAAAGATGCACACAGTGCTTCCATAGGAAGCTGCAATCTGTCAGCACAAACAAAAAGAACAAGTATTACATTTTAAAAGTTTTTTTTTTTTAAACTTGAGACACATTTATGATTTTAGGATTATATTGCACTTGTCGAAACAGAACACATCACACAGATCACAAAACTTCTTTGGTTTCGGTTTCAATGAATATGCAATATAAGCTTAATCCAAACCACAGTGAGAACAACAACAAATGTTTACACAAGACTATTTGAATTTCAAAGAACACTCAGTCACTCAGTATTAAAGTACCATATAATCTTAAATATACATAACCACAAAAAAAAAAAACATTTGAGAAATTACATTTAACAATGTAATTAATTTAATTAAGTGTTTATAAAATGGTGCTGATGGTGTTGTGGCACTATAGTGAGCACATAAACCAATAGAGCTCACAGTTGTACATAGTGAGAAGAGGGGCAAAAATATAAGCTGAGCATAGTTTAACAGATACTAGACCATGCTGAAGGCATGTGAGGTTAGTTTTGGCCAAACTCACAGGATTACATATCACATGAGGGTAGTAGTGACAAACTGAATGAACTCTCTCTTTTCCTCCCCATTTAAAACAAGCCTGTACACAGACTTGAAACCATTGCTACACAAAATGGAAAAAACAAAAACAAAAAAACAAACAAAACAAAACCACAAAGTACAATATTGGTAAAAAGATGACAACGTCTTATTGTGACACTGTGAATGAGAATAAGAATTTTTCAAGAGTGAAGAACCAGTATGTAAAAGCAATAGTGGAGCCGTTTCAGCACATTCTCATTCATTAAGTGCTGTTAAAATAACTCTGGTTCTATGCAGCGACACACACTAGACAGTCGGAGCACAGTTGGTAAATGTGGAAAAGCTTCAGCTCAAATTAGACATGCTGTATTGACAAATCCAGATTTAAAAATATAGTCTGCTGGAGTTTAGACTGTCAAATGAGGAAATTAGTTCACGTTGCCTCAGTTTAGAATTTTCTGCAACTCACATTTGTTGCATAATTTCCATTAGCTTTTGTTTAATGTGATATGCATTTAAATCTGCTAGAAGTACAATACCAAAAAGAGCAGCATCAACAACATTGTTTCAGTTGTTCTTACTCAATTGACCGAGATTAACTTTTAAGTATTCAACTTAAGCTTGAAGCCTGACAACAATTACACAGCTGGATTCATATTCATTAAATTGTCTCTGCAAAATGTTAATGTTAAGGTTCAGACCAAATTTTGACAAAACAGACAACGTGTAAAACAAATTATAAATTGAAGTCTCTCTAATCATCTGCAAAAATTACTATAATTTGAGTAGTGCCAGGTACTGCAGCAAAGAGAGGCATTGTCTACTGTTTCCCAGAATCACTTTCACTGCAAGCTCTTTCATTAAAATGTAGTTCACATGGTTCATTTTTCAAGACGAGAGCAAAGTATTATTACAGTAATGACAGTTGTATGGCATCATGTTACTTAGTCCTTAAATACTATTATACAAAAAGACACCAGAACACCAACTAGAGCAGAAACATGTTCTTCAATGTACCTGTACTGTATTATTGCTGCTCATGACAAAATAAAAATAATGAAAAGAGAGCCTGAAATCAGTCAAAAGTGTATATTATGTATGATAATCTACATCAGAGCTAACTGAGCAGCATCAGACTTGACATTAAACAATTAACTGCTTAGGTTTGTTTTAAAACGCCATTGAATAACAACAGAAAATGTTTCATTACCAACTGTTTCCCTGCACTCTACAAGAACCTTGCAGCAAGAATGTCACCAGCTTGTTTGTTTTTTTTCTTTCTGTATTTGAGTTTGTTTTCTCCATGTTTACACTTTGTGTAGTATGCACAAATTAGAAAACAGCTGTGGAGTGTTTCAATAACATACTATAATGACTTAAACCTGATAGTACAGAGGACCACCTCATTACTCTTACCTGTCCACCCTGCAGTGAGCAGTCAACACAGCCAACCTGGATGTTTCCATGTTTGGCCCCTGGGATGATCTGCAGACGCTCAAAGTCACTTCCCAAGATAACCACATCACAACCCGAGGCATAGGCCTGTGTAGGCAAAGATTAAAAGAGCGTTGAAGATGACAAATCCATCCACAGGGAACTGCATAAAGGACCACTTGAGTCGCAATTGTGTTACTGTGCCCCAATTCAACTCCTCTGGAGCCAAGGCTGCAACAATACAATAGTTAAAGAATGTCTGCACACAGGCTATAATTCACTGTGACCATGACGTTTTTACAAAAGGAATGCTGAAGGAAAAAGTTCTGCAATTGATTCACAGCACTGTTACTACACGGCAGTAATCAATTAAGCAGGGGTGCAGTTTAAACATGCAACAAAGAGTGACATCAGCCAAAAAAAAAAAGAGTGCTTTCACACCATTAATATTTAATATGAACTGTTTAAGAGACAAAAAACAGCCTTGTAAAGATCTTTTCATAAGGGCATTATATGAAGATCATAAAGATCATGAGTATAAATAAAGGATACTTCAAAGGATGTTTGACATATTACTGTGTTATTTGGAACACAAATTAATCCGTCCGAATTCGCATTTAGATCATCATAGCTTGCCTCAAGTATTGACAAATGTTTATGTAAAATATAATAAAAGATTTAATACAACATTGCTGTAAATTTGAATTGTCTTATGTAGGTGTAATATTTTGCAGGTTTGTAACTAAGTGATTCTTCACTGGTTAAAAAATCCAAAGCAGGAAATTATTTTTAGTGTTTTTCTCAGCTCTTACCGTGAACGGCACATGGTTGACACTCCCTACAGAAAAACAATTATCTCCAGGGTTGACAGCCCCAGTGAGGACCTGATGGAGATTCATGACTTTCAATTATAGGCCCCTTTTGTTCTTTCCTTCCTTCCTTTTCTGTCCTTTCCTCATGAGAACCTCCCACTCCTGGTGAGGCTCCTGGGAAACCATGGAATAGATGTACTCATCTCGGGCTTGGGCCTAAAATCTCACTTTTTGACCAACATTCTGTTCAGAGAAAGAGATAAAAGAGACACAAACAGAAAAATGTCAGTGGGATCTCTTTAGGTTTATAACATGACCTAATGAGTGAACCCCAACTGAACATATTCAGTAGTTCTGAATTAAATTGTTCTGAAAACCAAAAGTTAAACCATTCATACTCTTATTCATATACATGATCAATAGTCAATTTAGTGTGTCCAGTTAACACAATTTGGTGGAATAATGGAAGAATCTTTTGAACTATGACATCATACCCGCACAGAGAGAAAATGTCCTACAAAAACTTCAAATTCATACAAGAGGAGTAACCACCGAAGATAGTAAGGGAAGTACACTAGCGGCTCTTTCACCCAAACCACATATTTACTCAAAAGAAGAAGAGTAAACCCTAGAATCAATTATGCAAAGCAGAAATATAATACCTGGAAGTCTCTTTTGACAAATATGGCTACTTGAGCAGCAGCAACCACTTCTAACCTGACAATTGTAATATTTACAAGGCAGTGTCAATGTGTGTCAACTAAGAATGAATGAATACATTCAAATGTAATAATTTTAAAAGCCTTCCTTTAAGAACAGAGAAAAATAACTATAACAATATTTTTGGAAATATATTTGGACGTTTTTTTTAAAAAAATGCCAGCTTTTAGTATAGTGCCGAATCTCTAAATTCTGTTTCTGTACTGCTTGTTCAGGGGCATAGGCAGAATGAAGCTCACAGTTGCGTTTATACATTGCTATTTGCACACACTGGGAAAGAAAACCTAATTGTTTCAACTCAAGCTTAAAATACTATCTATAGGCAGCATGTTTGTAGAGGCTTAAACTTCTGGAGAACACTTAGCTCCTGTCAGAACAGCTCTGGAGAGTAATTAGTCTATGGCTAACAGGCTACTAATACATAAACCAAATAGACTGGGAGGGACTGTAGACAGATTCATCAAGTTGACAAGTTGAGTGTTGATAAGTAGATACACAGACATGTACACAAACACAACTGCACCATATGGAGATATCTTAACATGGCATGCAATTATAATGAAAATACACAGTAGCCTTTAGATTGCGCTGGAAAAATTGAAGACATTTAAACACATTAAAATAGTTTTAAAAGAGTTACTCAATATTTTATTCACTTTCTGAATTTGTAAATGGTTACTGCACCCTTAAACCACCAAATTAAGGCAAAACTCATGTGAATGAAAAAATGATTAAATAAAAATTATGCAATTTAAGTAATTAAACATCAATTGACGTTTTATGATTATAGAATGGAAATTTGGGGTTCCAGGTTAAAAACTACTTGTTTCATTCATCTTCGAGAGTTGCTCTACAATATTTTGATCTCTTCACCTTCCTTCTTCAACTTCTTCATATATATATTTTATATATATATTTCGACGAATTAGGACGTATAAGAACGTGACATAACCTGTTGAGTTTAAGCATGACTAAGTATTTCTCTTTCTCTGAACTAAGTTCCCTTTTGGCGTGATGCGTGCACAGGTGACTTCGGTCTTAATTTGTTAGTGGCTATGTTTATATGCACTATTGGTTTATGACTCCGTCTAATAAATGGGACACTCCACCAGGAAGCTAATATTATTTAAGTTTGACCAAATAAATGGGTATTTATGTGAAACCAAACATAAGCAACTTGAGAACAACTGTTAAAATCCGTGCTTTGCATAAAGCACCGTAGTTTGTTTTATTTCGACTTTATTGGGACGCTAACAACTTTGTCGTTATATAGTATAGCATTGACAACTAGGGCAGCAGTAACATCAGCGGGTCGTTTATAACTGAGCGAAGCCGAGTCTTATCTGCTCTGGGTTGTGGCAACTCACGTGATAACATTCTACACGACATTGTAGTTGAAGGCAAGCTGAAAAGGAGACCAACGACTCTGGATTATGTTTAAATGTCAATGTAATAGTTTACACAGACCAACTTTAACATATCTGAACTACGTGGTCACAGGTCATGACGTTCGCCGAGCCCTCAAGTTTAGCTGAGTCAAATGCAGTCTCCCGAAGACAAACAGTAACTGGGGCAGTATCACCGGAACCGGTTATGTACTTACCGGAGTTGGCTGCTTCTTTGTAGAGTTTCCTGTAGAAAAAATGACGCCGAATGAGTGCTTGTCTCCTCGAAGTGCTCCTTCTAAATAACCAGTATCACCAGCACCAGATGTGACGAATTCGGTCACCTCCGTAAGCTAGCGATAGCCCGTACTAGCCACTGGTGCTCTCTTCTGGAGAGCTACAAAGCTAACAACAACAGCTCATTTATGCCAAACGTGTCATGTGACCTCCGTTGTGACTGATATACTTGCCGAATATATATCCGTTAAAACAGACACCCACCTCTCCCCAAGGTTAGCAAATAGGATGCTTCCAAAGAGGAAGCTTTGGCTGGTGTTGGAGATGTGTCATGATAGTTTGTGTTTCGCCGTAGTGCATTATGGTATTTGTAGTAGCGCTTACAAAATAGCGGGAGAAATATCGCTTAAATTAAGCCCAGATTCGATAACGTTCAAATACTCAAAGGTCGGTTGTTTTTCTTTGTAATACAGAAGACTTAAATTGTGATTTATAACAGACAGTTCTCCTCGAACTACTGGTCAGATGATGTAATGTAATTTAGCAATATAAGACTGTTTTGCAACACTAAAACACTTGTGAACTAGCAGTGAAGTAGTTCATTGTAAAATATTTCAGCAAATCTTTTACAAAGCATTCTAGTTACACCAGACGTTCAAACAAACATATTAACAAAAATTTAATTAAATGTCATGACTGATAAATATCTGCAATTCTATATTCCATAATGTTTAAGTGTGTTATCATTTGTCACATACATTTCGAATCGAATTAAATTTTAGTTCAAGGTTAATTTTAATACATAATCTGATTAAAGAGTTCGAGTCTGATGAGGATTCAATCTGTGCACTAATTCTGGATAACCACTAGGTGTCAGTGTTCCCCAACACTGTGCTGTATTAAGTGAGTGTTAGAATTTGTTTAATAAGATAACACTTTTTCTTTTCTTTATTTTTTTTCAAAATAAAATATGTTTATTTTACCTTGCAGTAGCAGTGAGTCAATGTTAATCAAACCGTCACACATTCAGGGATTACATGAATTAATGTGGTGGAACGCCATTTCAACAACAACGCAAAAACGAGTGATTTGCATTCTCGTCGAAAATGTGAGAATCATGACAGTCAGGCATGCTGGATAGTCAGGCGTTTAGCCTAGAGCACAATCATGACTGCAAACCATTGAGATGAATGAAGGATTGGTTCACATGATGTAGCAGTGGCTCAGTCTGTAGACACAAACATCATTGTCCTGGTCTAGAGTTAAACTAGAGGAAATGTGGAAACGGAGAAACTGATTCTCTCATTGGTGAGTCTTGTTACAGTTAATCAAAATTTTGGCCAAGTTGCAAAGCATTTGGATAACATTCTCACTGTCTGATATAAACTTTAATTTAAACGCTACAATTCTTGGTTTTTATTATATTTATTTTAATTGTGTAATTATTTCTAGCCAAACATATTTAAACCATTCAATTGATTGCAGTAGTGCAGTACTGACAGTTTGTTTGAAATGGCTTAAGGTGAGTGCTTTTTCGGAAAAAACTAAACAAAAAAAAATTTAATTAATTTGGAATGTGCATGGTTGACGGACTCTTCAACAAAAAGACAAAAAGATTTAATGCTTTTATATTATTATTATTATTGCTCTGTCTGACACGACAACATTCTGTTTAAATTAACTATTTTCTGACCTAGCATGACTTGACAGGTAATGTCAACATTGAACATTGAAGTCTATGTAAACAGCCACATCCTCTGAAAAAATACTCCAGTTTTCACTTGTTCTGGAAGCTCAACTTTACTTTTCTTATTTGCAGTTGCCAATTCAGAAATTGACCAGAAGGTGCATGCTGCCAGAGGGCGGCTACTCTGCGCTGCTGTCATCTCTTGGCTAAACATAAAATTGCATATTTTATATGTGTATTTGTACTTGGGGCACAATCTGGGTGGGCAGACAAGTGAACCATTTTAAAACACAGGCTGCAGGCTGCATAAAATTTGACCACCGGCTGCAATTGGCCCACGGACCACACTTTGGACATTTCAAGTATTTCAAAAAAGACCAAACAGTCTTAGGTTTTTTTTCCAAGCATTCATTCATTCTCGTTGGGATTCACAATCTCTCTATAGAAATGTTTATTAACAGGGAGAACAACCAAAACCAAATGTAGACACAAGACACATACATGACTCATTTGGCTGAAAATAGGTGTAGAATCCATTTTTTCCTCTGTCTGAAATCCAACATAAACAACCATGTGATGGGTGGATAAGGGTTTAATGAGGGTGGGGATTGGGACGCTTCAAATTTTACAAAAGCCTGTATAGATGAAAGGGGAAAGACAGAGTGGCTGAATAATGGAAGAGGCTGACATGTCACTGACATCAGGGGACGACTGTGACATTTATTGTCATGACATTTGCATGGTTCTGATGATGAATGGGCTGACTTTCTGTCAGGAAGTAGGTCAACGCCTCGTTAAGATGAAACTTTATTATTTAACTGTGCTAAATATCACATATTGTTTTACTGTTGACACATCGTCCCTGTATGAAATGTACTTACATGTATGTATTTTATATATATATATATATATATATATATATATAGTGTGTTACACAGAGATTGTTCAAAGATGTTGATTTGACTTTGAACATTTTATATACACATTAAATTGAGTTGGAAATGTTACTGTTTGAAAGATAATTTACATTTGAACTCATTATAGGGTTCTGCACATTTTTTACATTTTATACATTTTTTATTTTTTATATTTTCCCTGTTTTTTCATTAACCAACAACAAGGAGAAAATAAGAGAATAAGTGAATACAAAGCACAAGAGCACTATTTTAAAGTTCAATTACTTACGTACGTATAAAGTAAACACATTCAACACTAGATGGCAGTATTGAAACATAAATTCTCAGTGCTGCCAAGGTTGCTCTTAACATCCAGCGACTGCAATTTAACCTCGCTCTCTAAATTCACACTTGGCTGCTGTAATCCTGTGTGGACCAGACACCACATTGTAAATATAAAATCCACCCTGGTAAAAATGGTGGGAACCACTAGTCCGCTTACTTTTAACAATCACATAAAATTTACTTTTAAATTACGCCGACGTAAATCCTCCAAATCAAGTTTGGCTCCTGTTCTAGATAACATGATCCCGGAGCCAGCTGCTCTGGAAGGCTGAGTCGCTCATTCTCAAACACACACCGATGCAATTTTATGTTTTTCTCTTGAAAAGTAAGTTGTTCCTTTGAAGTGCTCAGTGGTATTATTATACTGTGGTTTGACGAGTAATAATGTTGATGTTTTCTATGGGCTATAATTACTGGATCTGCAGGCAGAGAGAGCAATTCCAACTCGAACCTGCAGTCTGAGTGTGGCCACGCTTTGATGTTCCATAAGTGGGAGAAACATGTAAGAGGGAGTGTTTTAACAGGAGAAAGTACACACTACACAACACTACACTACATACTGACAGGACAGAGACAGCAGAAATGGACCATAATGAGGTATAATGGGATATCAAACAAGAGTGGGTCTGAAGAGATGTCCCATTTAGCTTTTGACCTTAGTAATCCCCTAGTGATAAACAGTGTAATTGGGATGTAATTAGGTGAATTCTTGTAGCACACAGGAGCTACTAAGATTTAGTTCAGAGTTTATCTGAAACACTAAAATACAAGAAGCAGCAACAATACAATACAGCAACATGGTCCGATGGAGCAGAGGGAGTGTAAACCTGGGGGTCCTCAACCTCCAGGCTGGAAACCAGTACCAGGCTGCACAGAAATATTAGTATAGGTATAAGTTGTCTGCATGTTATTTGATATTAAAAAAATGATCACTTCTGCCCCCCGCACTCCTGAATCTCCCACCTCAGTCAGTCTGCTCCTCAGTCACATTTCTTTTTTCATCCACTAACTACAGCAAAAAATATAAAAAAACAGACATCACTAGAAAGATTCTTAAAAAAGGAGAACGCCTTATGATGAGACAGTTTAAAGCGCAGAACCTACAACCAAAAATCGTCCTGGAACAAAACTGCAAAACATAAAATAAATATATATATATGTTTATATACATTAATTAGATATCGTATGCACTTTATAGGGTTTTGTTATGTGTGTGACCCCCATTAACACACACACACCCCTCCTGCTGCTGCTGCTCTGGAAAGAAAAGTCCTGTATGAACTGGTCCATGGTGAAACAAAGGTTGCTGTAATCAGTCTATTATGTACAAACAGGGTTTGACAGAAAACAACTGTTTTCTCCAATTAACAACACAAACAATCTTCTGCATCCATGGTTTAGTGTGGGGGTGACCACACTATTTTAGCTTAGAGAGCTAATATTTAAATGCCCGGCTAAAGTGATCCTCCTCAATTGAATATATATTTACTCATATATATATTCTCTCTATTTTGTGCACTTTATTCTTCATAATAGTGACGAGTCCTAAGAGGGTGAGTGGTAAGGATGCCACTAAAGATACAATACAGTACAAATCGAAAAATAAAATAAAATAGAAAAGTAAAAAAAAAAAGTCAGTAAATTCTAAATTTGTGCAAGTTACGTAATGTCCGTGTAAGGTATGCTATGGAATCAAGTGTCTTCGTACGGGCCAACTCTCTTCCCTCCTCCTCCTCCCCACCACATTAGTTTCTACTGTATCGTCTGTCTCGAAGGTAAGAACTCATAATTAACCACATTTTATTTTATATCACAGGAATCCTTATATACTATATATTTTTTCTGTGTGTGTGTGTCTCTGTAGTAATTCAGAATATGTTTTTCCATTGTTATTAGCACTAATAAGGGAGATTTTATAGAGGGCCGGAATGGAATAATCTTTTTTCTGTTATTTATTATGGGAATAAAATTAATCGAGATACAACACCTCAAATTACAAGCTCGGTCCTGGAACGGATTATGCTCGTATCTCAAGCTATTGCTGTATTTACATCTCAATTTTCTTGTTTTATTGTTGGTGATCCACCCGCACTCCCGTAACGATCTACTGGCAGGTCGTGATTTACTTAGGGGATCTGTCTTGTTAGCAGAGGATCCAAGGTTAGAATCCCACCTGGTTGGCTGCAGTGTGTTTGAGCAAACAACAAAATTTACTGCTCCTCTGGGATGGGCTTTTGTTCACTGTCCATTACCCCGAATGGTTAACCTTAGGTGTTTAAACACATCCAGATTAACTACCTCTATATTTGTCACTCCCCCCTCTCACCACAGATTACAATGTTATCTGCAAATGCTAGCTAGCTGTTGTTGTTGTTTGTCAGTCCTTCTGATTCCAAAACAAACTGAATCTATCTATTCATCTGTCCGTCCGTCCATCCGTCC